AGAACCAGAGTCATAGAAGCATCAAACAGATGGTACAACCTATGAAAAAAGGCAAGTGGGGGGGGGATTGTGGTGAGGGGGTAAGAGATCAACCAAAAGACTTGCATGCATGCATATGAGCATAACCAATGGACACAGACAGTAACGGGGTGAGGGCATGTGCTGGAGGTGGGTGCAGCCAGTGAGAGGCCAATGGGGGAAAGAGGAGACTCATGTAATATTTTAAACAATAAAGAATTTAAATGAAAATAAAGAGCTGTCCATTTCTATGAATATTTTTCAGAATCTATTATATGTTGGAAAGATAGGATTGCAACTTTTGAATATCAGCTATCAAGACTGTTTAACACATTTTAAAAATATAATGAAAATAAAAACTGGGTGCAGCTGGTGAGAGGCCAATGGGGGAAAGAGAAGACTCATGTGATATTTTAAACAATAAAGAATTTAAATGAAAATAAAGAGCTGTCCATTTCTATGAATATTTTTCAGAATCTATTATATGTTGGAAAGATAGGATTGCAACTTTTGAATATCAGCTATCAAGACTGTTTAACACATTTTAAAAATATAATGAAAATAAAAACATTTTATATTGATTTTAAGTTACACATTTCTGAAAATTTGAAGCAATAACCATGTTATTTATGCATGCAGATAAAACAATAAGGCTATAAAACTTTGGATTTTAAAATTAGATAGTTGTCTTTTGTAGTATTAGTTATCTACATATATAAAACTCTAACATGCAAATAGACCAAACGGCCAAACAACCGAACAACCGGTCACTATGATGTGCACTGACCACCAGCAAGTGTGCACAGAACATGGCAGGCATCAGCAGCAGGCAGCAGAGCGCAGAACATGGTGCGCATTGGCCGTGGCGGGATGGTGGAGCAGGTGAGCGGGGGCACCAGACCAAGGTGGGGTGCCAGTCGCTGTCATCAGAGCGAGCCTCTGGTGGTTACTGAAAATTCTTTGCTCCTGTGTGCCGTGGTCCTGGCAGGTGTTTGCACCTGCTGCCGGCACTGGCCCCACTCTCACCCACTGCCAGTGCCTGGTGCTGGCCCCCATTGCTCGGCACTGTCAGTGGGTGCGAGCAGTGGCTGCTGGCCCCAATTGTCCCTCAGGGCTTCTCCATCTCCTCCTGCTCCTGAGAGGCAATCGGGGCCAGCAGCTGCCTCTTGCACTCGCTGCTGGTGACAGCCCCACTCACACCCACAGCTGGTGCTGGAGCTGCCACTCGCACCCGCTGTTGGCACCCAGCGCTGGTCCTGATTGCTCGGCATCATCAGTGGGTGCGAGTGGCAGCTGCCGGCCCCAATCGCCCCTGATGGCTTCTCCACCTCCCCCTGCTCCTGAGGGGCAATCAGGGCAGCAGCTGCTGCTCGCACCAGCTGATGGTGCTGGCCCTGCTCACACCCGCTGCTGCGCTGGCCCCAATCGCTTTGCACCATCAGCAGGTGCAAGCTGGTGGCGGCGGGAGTGGGGCAGCCAGCAGACAGGGGACTGGGGGCTGCAGTGGGAGGAGCCAGGTGGGGGCATGCAGGATGGGCCAACACCCGCCCTTGTGCCCACTGAAGCCTCGCAGCCCACAGTTCCTTACAAGGTGCATGAATTCATGCACTGGGCCCCTAGTATATAATAAAGGCAAATGAAAAAGGTAATTGGTAATTTTTTTATTTTATATTTTTATTGATTTTGGAGAGAGAGAGAGAGAGAGAAACATCAATGATGAGAGAGAATCATTGATCAGCTGCCACCTGCAGGCCCCCTACTAGGCATCAAGCCTGCAACCCAGGCATGTGCCCCTGACCTGGATTCGAATCCAGTACCTTCAGTCTGCAGGCTGACACTCTATCCACTGAGCCAAACCAGCTAGGGTGGTAATTTTATAATACTATTTTTAATTCATTCCTCAAACAGCTCTGAATTAATTTACTGTGACAAGGTGTTACAACTACCTTCCTGGATGTATAACAAAAGTTTAGCCACCCAATTGTTTCTATAACTTAAGGACTAATTCTTACTGTCACTGTGAAGTAAAGTTGCTTGGTGTGCATACTGAGTAAAAGGAAAAACAAAGCAAACAAAACAAACAAAAAAAACACAAGAAATGCATGCCAGTGAATTACAAACACTGCTATTTAACCGGGTTGGGACCAAAGGTTGTTAGTGCTATTGGCCACAACTATCTAAAAAAAAAACACACCCAAATGTCAAGCTGACCTCTGAATGGTTACTGGGTGAATACCAAGGTTCAATGGTTTGTTTTGGATGAACATCAAGACATGGGGATGCTTGCCCAACACTTTGGTTAGAGCTTTTTCTTCCATTAGCGTAGTTTAGAAAAGTGTTTAAAGTGTGACTTGCTCTGAACATTCATGGTTCTATTTTTATCACTATATTAAACAAATGAAAGCACTCCATATTTTGAATGTATTCCCTTTTCTTACATTCATATGGGGCTACAGCTGCATGACCTTCGTTAGTTAGGAATCATTGTTGATAGCAAGACTATGAATATTGTAAATTCAGAACTTGAGAGACAGAAAGTAAAATCATTATGGGCTGTGACGCTCTCTGAGAAAGACAGACATGGGTGATATAAATGATAGTAATTGGGCTGGAGGCGGGTGGGAACAAGGTCCAAAGGACCTCTCTGAGGAGGTGACATGTAAATTGTGGTCTGAAGGATGAGGAATTGTGCAAAGAAGCAGGGAAAGAGTTTGTAGGTGGAAAGAAGTGAAAGGTAGATGTCTGAGGAGAAAGGAGCTTGTTGACTAGGAACAGAAGAGAGGGTAGCTTAAATTTCCCTACAAAGAACTTTTCTTATTTAGATTATTTCATATCCAATGGAGAGTACCCTGCTATCAAGTAGATAGCTTCAGTTCTGCTACACTAACCAACCATCCCCGGTCTCAGCCCCCTTAAACAGCTAGATTTATTTCCTACTCACTCTGGATGTCCATCGTAGGCTGGCCAGGTGCTCTGCTCTGCCTCCTCTTCATGCCAGGACCCACGCTGACGAGCAGTCTCTGTCTGGAACCCAGAGGTTAACCGTGACAGAGTAGAAAGGGAAAACATAGCACGTCAAGTTCAGGCTCTTAAACCATCCACACACATCACTTCCACTCGCATTCCATTGGCCAATGCAGGGACTAATCCTGTCAGCAAGGAAGTAGGACTCTCCTGTGTGCCCGGAAGAGGAGAAAAACTGTAACTGGTGGTGAGCGGCAGGCTTTTCTCCCATGGGGGTCAGTGAACAAGAACAACCTGGAATCGCATGTACAATGTGTGTGTGTGTGTGTGTGTGTGTGTGTGTGTATGTAGACACCTTTTCCTTGTCTCCAGGGAAAAGGTCTATTGCTGTAATCAGATTCTCAAAGGGATCTGTGACACAACAATGATTAAAAACTGCTGGACCAGTTGAAAACTGTCATGTAAACAGATAATTGCTCTACAAGACAATTTGCAGCATGAGTGAGAGGCTGAAATGATTAAGGAATTATGCGTGCGTGCATATGTGTGCGCAGGTGCGTGCTTGGTGATAAGGAAAAAGTTGAGCAAATCTGCAGACTAAAGGGTAGAAGCCAGAGGACAGAGCGTGATGCATTAAAGACACGGAGGTCTGAGGACAAGTGACTAATGTAACAAGGTCCCAGAAGAAGCCTGAAGAGATGGTGTTCAGTATTCTCTAGAGCAGTGGTTCTCAACCTTCCTAATGTTGTGACCCTTTAATACAGTTCCTCATGTTGTGGTGACCCCCAACCATAAAATTATTATTTTTTTTAAATGTATTTTATTGGTTTTTTACAGAGAGGAAGGGAAAGGGATAGAGTTAGAAACATCAATGGATTAAAGACACGGAGGCCTGAGGACAAGTGACTAATGTAATGAGGTCCCAGAAGAAGCCTGAGGAGATGGTGTTCAGTATTCTCTAGAGCAGTGGTTCTCCACCTTCCTAATGCTGTGACCCTTTAATACAGTTCCTCATGTTGTGATGACCCCCAACCATAAAATTATTTTTGTTGCTACTTCATAACCGTAATTTTGCTACTGTTATGAATCATAATGTAAATATCTGATATGCAGGATGTATTTTCATTGTTACAAATTGAACATAATTAAAGCACAGTGATTAATCACAAAAACAATATGTAATTATGTATGTGTTTTCCGATGGTCTTAGGCGACCCCTGTGAAGGGGTCGTTCGACCCCCAAAGGGGTCGCGACCCATAGGTTGAGAACCGCTGCTCTAGAGGTAGCAACTTTAAGGGCTAGAAGAGATACCTCTCCTCTGGTGGGAGGAAGGGAGGGAAAGGTGGGTGACCCTCTGGGTCAAGCTGCAGGTGGAGGGGAAGGAGAGGACCTCCATGTTGTCTGTGACATATGGACAAGGACATTTACTTAGGAGGAGGGGATCGTGAGCATGTTGATAGTTTGGAACAGCTGTAAGGGAAATCTGACACAGAGCTGACTGGGGACAAACAGAAAGACTGCCAGTAGCCTGGAGGGTCCGACTGATGTTGGAGAACATAGACTTGACACAATGCCAGTAACCAGAGTGAGGGGATTTTTCCTAATTTGTGCTCAGCTGTCCTGAAGTAGGAGCTGAGAAAGTTACAGTTGAGCTGATCCAGGGCTAGGGATTAGCAGAGCAGGTGCAGCAACATGCTTTGCTGATAATATAAAGTTCAAGAATCTCTGAGCAGGGAAAAAAGACCTAATTTTGCCTTTTAATTTTAACAGTAATGGTGAGAAGCAGACTTATACCTGTAGTTCTCCTTTCTGAGTTGCAGTTCTTGCTCCCTGTACAACCTGTCTTTGTTTTGAGTTTACAACTAATAGGACTAATAATATAACCAATATAGTTATGGGTAAGTAGCATAGCTTATTTCTTTTCTTATTGTTTAAGTAAAATCAATCCTGTCAAGCCACCTAAGATTTTGTGTTCCTAATACTCCCTTACTCTACTAGTGAAATCTGACAGAAGAAAGGTAAAAGGAAAAACATGAAAGCTCTAAAAAGATAGTTACATATTCAGAGGCATAAATATAGAATTGCTTAGCTAAGCATCTTGCTATTAATTAGCATGCCATCAATTTTGCTGCCTTGAGTGATTAAGGAAGACATTGTATTTAGAGAAACCATTAAACGAAGACAAAGGAAAAACATCTGTAGTAGTTTAGCTCAGTGCAGACTGCAGTCTGAAATGGCATTGTGTTACTTTTCTCTTTCCCCAGTTGCCTGCTAAGTCCCCGTGTTTTCCTGATTTCATGTGGTTACATCATAAGCATTTGGTGAAAATGGTGTTGCTGTTCGTCAAGGCTGCATCTGCATATTGCAGGCAAACACAGCCGCAATAAAAATAATTTTGGTTTCCTGAACCACTTTGCTTGAAGTCTGTCATTTTATTTTCCATTTCCTCAGAATTGAGGTTTCATCTCTTAAGTATCTATTGAGGACTGGCAGGTGAGGTGAGCAAGCCACAGCTATCATTTAGAATTATGTTTGAAGCTGAAATTAAATATGACTTTTCCCATCCTTCCTCAATAGGAAGAAGTTAGCAGGAGGGCACGCGAGTTAAACAGAGATTGTCGCTGCAAATGGCTCTTTCCCAGAAGGCCCTCTCTTGGAATTTCAGTTGTTGATAACTAGCAGGTTTCATCTCCGGGAACTCAGATAAGTTCCTCTGCGCTTCTGGCCTGCCAGCTTGCAGACGGTCTCCAGCTGAGGCAGTGCTGCCAGAATGGATAGCAGGAGAATGTACGCGACTCTCTATTTATCCTAAAGTATGATAATTTGAGGGAAAATTAAAATCGTCCGGTTTTCAGTACACCCTACTGCTCTCAGTGCTGGTTATCTAATCAGACAGCACAAATATATTTCTGCATAAAATCCTGTAAATGGAGGGAAAACCCAAGAAAAGGGGGGAATTAATGTCTTGCCAAAGGCCACACAGTATGTTTAGGGCAGGACTGGGCACCTGAGTCCCCTGATTGATCTGGCTGGAGTCTTCCTGCTCTAGCCCAGGACAGCAAGCATGTGGATGCTGAGATCATGAAGTTATGCAAGGGGCAAGGACAATAGATTTTATTTGTTTTTTATTTTTTAAAAAAATATTTTTTATTGATTTCAGAGAGGAAAGGAGAGAGAGAAACATCAATGATGAGAAAGAATCATTGATTGGCTGCCTCCTGCATGCTCCGCACTGGGGATCGAGCCCGCAACCCAGGCATGTGCCCTGACCAGGAATTGAACCATGACCTCCTGGTTCACAGGTTGACGCTCAACCACTGATCCACACTGGCCAGCAGGACAATAGATTTTAAATATACAAACACTGACCTGCACCAACCTGTTCCAGAGGCCCAAGGACTGTTTGTGCTTTGGGGATAGTTCATCTTTGCAATCTAGGCTCCAGCTCAATGCCTGGCATATCAGTAGATACCCAGTCAATGGTGAATAAATTCTGTTGAATAAATTCAGAGCTTTTAAATACGTAAATCGAATAATCCCATTCTCTGCTTAAAATGCTGCAGTGGCTTCTCCTTTCTCTCAGAGTAAAACTCCAAGCCATGACCTAGGTGACCCTGTCTTTGCTACCTCTCAGACTGCACTTCCTCTTCTCCTCTCTCCTCCTCTTCCTCACTTACCCGCCTTTGGCTCCTTCTCCACAGGAGGCAGCTCCCTTTGCACTGGCTGTTCTCTATGCCTGGACTCTGACTCTTTGTGCATACAAGGCCACCTCCCTTATTTCCTTCAAGACTGCCCACTTCTAGGAATATATCCTAAGAAACCAGAAACACTCATCAGAAAGGATATACTCACCGCTATGTTCATAGCA